TCTTCTAGCATATAAATAGAGTGAGATAAGAATAACCAGACATACCAAACATGAAGGTTAAATAGCACTGATAGAAAGAGGCAAGTTTTGAACAGTCAAGATGAACACAAGCACATAGAGTTGATGTAAGTTAGGCTAAGAAACTCAATAGAAACATATTCGAGGCAAGATAGTTACAGAAACTCAAATAAGAACCGGTCAGTCACAAAACCAAATGAAGAAACCTAGAAAATTAGGGCTTTCAACATAAACGAGTTAAAGATGTGATAAACTCATAGAATTAGTTAAAATAATGCAAGAAATAGAAGTTTAAACACAAAGAATCAGTTAAACAAGGTTTTAAAAAGAACTTCCAAAACCCTAGTTTTTAGAAGCAGGTGGAAAACACTTAAAATCAACGATTCTTGTAAAGAGTTCCGAGGACAGTGTAAAACATTAAAGAAACAAACTCAAATCGTCCTATATCTGTGCAGATCTAGAAGATATAGGAAGAAATTAGGGTTTCAAAAGAAACCCATATAGAGATGAAAGAACCTGACTAGAATCCTAAGGATCGTAACAAATACAGCATGATTTTGCTCGAAATCACACTGGAGTAACCAAGAACAGACAAATGACGAACCCTAAATGCAAGTCAGCATGGCCTTGGGCCCTTGAAAACCTTAGAGAAGGTAGGCATGGCATGAGAGAAGCCATTGGAGGCTTAGGAGACGATGGGAGGTCACCGAAGATGACCGGAGAAGAGAGGTCGGCGGTTGAAGGGCTAGGGTTAGGTTGAGAGTGTTTTGAGAGAGGAGAGGATCCTAGGGCGGCGGATGTGGGAAAATGGTTAGGGTTGGGTGGTCGTTTTGAATAAAAAAGGCAAGACTAAACGGGGGCTGTTGATCTAAAAGATCAACGGCCAGGATTTGATAGGTTTTGGGTCGGGTAGGTGCATTAAGGGCCTAGGTCGGGTTATTTAATCCGAAATTGGGCTGGGGTATTGGGTTTAATTGAGTCTAAATTGAAATGCAATTTGGCTAGATTTTAAATAGCCAATGTATCCCCATATAATTTATAATAAACAATAGATAATTTCTAAAAAATAATTTCCTATACTAAAATGATTTAAAATAGATATTCAACATTTTAAAAATATAGAAGGTCGATTTTATGCTTATAAATGTAATTATACATTAATAGGGCTAATATTGCAATTATATGCAAATTAGTTGTAAAAATATAAATGTAACTATAAAAATGCACTAAAAAATATTTTATCAATATTTTGGCATAAATATAGAATTTAAATGACTAAATTACCACAATAATAATTTGAGAGATAATTATTTGGGATTTAAAAAAGGGAGGAAATAAATTAATTTATAATCTTTAAAATTATAGAAAATTTATAAAAACCTTGTGCATGCTTATGTATGCATGTATGCTATTTTGAAAGTATTTATGCATATTAAAAATATATAGGGAAAAATTGGGTATCAACATGCGGCGTGCAACCCGATCCCACCAATCCACCCTTATTGCTCCTTAATATATCACCCTTATTCCTCCTGTTGCGGCGTGAAACCCGATCCCACCAGTTCATCCGTATTACTCCTATTGCGGCGCGCAACCCGATCCCACCAGACAATCACATTTCACCCTTATTCCTCCTCAATATATCATCTTTATTCCTCCTGTTGCGGCGTGAAACCCGATCCCACCAGTTCATCCGTATTACTCCTATTGCGGCGCGCAACATAGCCCCACCAGACAATCACATTTCACCCTTATTCCTCCTCAATATATCATCTTTATTCCTCCTGTTGCGCCGTGCAACCCCATCCCACCATATCAGTACCAATTATAAAATAAGAACAAGTATTTCACAATTTAGCTCGAAACCCTCCACAATATTTAAGCCTCAAACCAAAGCAAGCAGAAGGCTATACAACTATGAAACTTCACTCAATTAATACTCCACAGCGAGACCAACCCAAATATACTATGAAACACCGGTAAACCAGCTTAAACAAATAACGTAACACAATGAAACTACGAAATAATTAATACCTTCAATAAAGAAAACAACATTTGACAAGAAGCAATTAGACATGGAAGCACCGATAGGCATGTAGCAGTTAAGACAGGAAGACAATATAATAGGAACGGGGAAAGAAACATGCTAAACAGATAATTTTAGCGGCGGATAAGTACTCGTCACCTCACCTATATGCCACAGACATGGATTTCACATAGTAATTAAGTTGGGGATCCCTAATCCCTCAAGTCAAAGTTAGACCAAATACTTACCTCAATCCAACGGCCAACTCAAAGCTCAATTACCGCTTTTCCTCTAGATTCCACCTCCAATCCACTCGTATCTAGTCATAATTAACTTAATAACATCAGTTATCGCTAAAGAAATCAATTCCAATGCATAATTATAGGTTTCCCAACATTTTTCCCAAAAAGTAAAAAAACTAACCCCGGGCCCGCTTGGTCAGAACCCGAAATTCGGACCAAAACCCGATTACACATTTACCCCAGAGTCCGGATATACAATTGGTTTTGGAATCCGACCTCAATTTGAGGTCTAAATCCCCAAATTTCGAAATTCCTAATTTCTATCCAAAAATCCCCAATTCCACCATGAAAACCTTAGATTCTAGGATGAAATCTTGTAAAAAGATGTAAAAGATTGAAAGAAATGAGTTAAGAATCATTTAGCTATGATTTGGGGAAGAAATAGCCTTTGAAAAATCGCCTCGTGAGGTTTAGGTTTTGAAAAATGAGGGAATGAATGAAAAATCTCGTCTAAGTCCAAACTTATCAGCTGTAGATGTCACATTTGCGATCTGAGCTTCGCATTTGCGAAGCTCGCAAATGCGAGAAAAGTATCACAAATGCGAACTCCTCGCATTTCTGCAGCCATCGCAAATGCGAACATTTTATCGTAAATGCGATCCCTGGCTTCTGCAAATGCGGACTTATTCTTCGCAATTGAAGCTACCCAGCCCCTGCCTAGGCTCGCATTTGCGAGCCAGTCTGTAGACCTGAAGCATACCAGCAAAACTTTTTAAGTCTAAATCACTCCTTAGCCTATCTAAAGCTCACTGAGCCCTCGGGGCTCCAAACCAATCGTGCACACAAGTCTTAAAACATCATACGAACTTGATCGTGCGATGAAAAAGTCAAATAACAGCTAGAACTACGAATTTAGCGCCAAATTGCATGAAATTTTCAAGATAGTTTCAAAACTTCTATTTTCTCAACCAAAGGTCCAAATCACGTGAAATCAGTTCCGTTTCTCACCAAATTTCACAGATAGTATAAATATCATAACGGACCTGTATCGGGCTCCAGAACCACAATACGAACCCAGTATCAACAAGATCAATTATTAACCAATTTCTTAAAACCTTTATAATTTCAGTTTCACAATTTTTATCAAAAAATTATTTCTCGGGCTAGGGACCTCGGAATTCGATTCCAGGCATAGGTCCCATATTTACTATGGACCCACCGGGACCGTCAGAATACGGGTCCGGGTCCGTTTACCCAAAATGTTGACCGAAGTCAACAAAATCAACTTTTTAGGCTAAAAATTATTATTTTGCTCAATTTTTCACATAAAAGCTTTCTGGATATACGCCCTAACTATGCACGTAAATCGAGAAAAAATAAAATGAGATTTTAAGGCCTCGGAACACGAAATTGAATTCTAAAATAGAAGATGACCTTTTGGGTCATCACACCAAGAAATATTGAAAGACTACAAAATGTTGAATTGCTTTTTTTGCCACCCAACATGACATTAAAATTTCAGCCTTGTGATGATTGGATAATAAGAGCTTTCAAGATGCATTATCGCCATAAATTTTACCGTAGGAAATTAGAAGGTTATAACGGGACAAACTGATCCAGGAAAGATTAATATTTTGGATGCTATCAATCTTGTGATCGCGGCTTGGACGACAAATGTTTAGCAAGAGACAATAGCAAATTGTTTTCGACACTGCAAAAATTCGTTCGAGGGATGAAGCCTAACGATATTCATGAACAAGGTCATGATTAATGATCTCGGTTACGGCAATAAAATGGATGTCAATTGCCTGTTAGATTACCCGGGTGAAAATGATACATGTTCGGAGGTCCAAAGCTTAGAAGAAATTATGGATACCATCGGAGAAAACAATATTGATGATGAAGTTGAAGACGATACAATACCTTTGGAATCAGTTACGAGTAAGGAAACACTTATCGCGTCTAGAACTCTTCACAATTTTTTGATACAGTTCGAGAAGACAACACCAGAACTTTTGGATGCAATAAAAAAAGTTAGATATGAGCTTCAACTAGATTTAAATTTTAAGAAAAAACAAAAAATACTAGAATTATATTTCACTAAATTGTCTTAGATATTTTTGTAATTTTAAAGAATTATTAATTTATAATATTAATAGGACCATATATTTATATAGGGGTCTTCCGAAAATATATTATCTTATTATTCTATCGAAATTGATGATTTTTTTCACTGGCCCAAGTCGGAATCGGAGAAAAATATTATCTTAAAGAGTTTATTACTTTAGCGAGTATTAATTTAGACAGGTTCTGCTGTATCTAGTCACAAGGACTAAACTCATAATTCGAAAAAAGACCAAAAATACTCCTCCCTCCGGTCCATAATAAGTAATTTTTTGGTTTTTTTTGTCCAAAATAAGTGATTTTTCCAGATTTCAAGACTGAATTAATTATTTTTTCCCTACATTATCCTTGGAGTAAATAATATTGAAGTATGTGATAGGAGTATTTATCTGAATAGCTAGTAAAAATTAATATGGTCAATTTTATTGCTAATTAATATGAAAATGTGAGTTTCTTAATATGTGCGAAAACAATAAAAAAAATTTTGCTTATTTTGAACCGGAGGAGCACTCTATTAACCATAATGAATTAATGATAATATTTTGGTAATATTTTCTGAACATAAATAAAAGATTGACAACATGTTGTGTTAGGTACAATACTGGTGTACCTTCTCTGGCCTTCCCAAATTGTCCGCTGGCTTTTCCACTCCCGTCTTTTTTTCTTCTTCACAAAATCACAACCCTCTAACAATGGCGATTCAAAGGCTTTTATCACTATTCTTTCTACTAATCTCATCTCTGCCCCTTTTAGCACAATCGCGCAGTGATACGAACCACGTGTACTCACCCTGCGCTGATGCAAAGGTGCAGAAATCAGATGGGTTTAGTTTTGGGATTGCATTTAGTTCAAGAACATCATTTTTCCTCAACAGTTCAGTTCAGTTGTCTCCTTGCGATAAAAGGCTCTCTCTTTCGTCAGCAAATTCTCAGCTTGCTGTGTTCAGACCTAGAGTGGATGAGATCTCTCTCCTTACTATCAACACTACCAACTTTTTCCCTGTATGATCGATCTTCCCCACTTTGCTCTGTCTTTTTTTCTCTCTCTATTGGGTTCAATTGCCTGAAAGTTGAGCTTTTTATTGTTTACTTATGGAAATATGGTGAAATGGGGTTAGATCTGACATGGGTTTGTTCTGGTTTTAGATTAGGTTTGTGTGTGTGTGTGTGTCT